CTAATATCCTTTCAGGTAGAGATAACTTGAAAACAGAGACTCCGAAGGACTGTGACCCTGAGCAGGGAGTTCAGAGAGGCCAAAACTGGAGAAATGGGGGTGTGAGGTCAGGGCAAGGTCAGATGTGTGCCATGGGGCTGTGGGTGGGCCTTCACCAAACCCGGCCCAGGAAGGTGTAGGGGAGGGGAAAAAACACCTTTCTCCTCTACCCTCCTCAGTTCTGTGGCTGGGGCCCTGGAAATTAAACTCACAAAAGACAGACTAACAAGATAAAAACAACAGTTCATGTACACGTGTGTTGCGCACACATGTAGGAGAAACACAGTGGTGAGTAACTCAAAGGGGCGGTCAGAACTTGGGGCTTAGGTAGCATTTTAACAAAGAACAATGCATGTTTGGAGAAGAAACTGGGATCTGGGGGTGGCAGACTGTGGGAGGTACGTGCGTGGGGGAAACCAGAGGACGGTGCGTTGTTCTCGGCAAGTGAGCTTTGTTGAGTCCTCCCTCCGTGCGTCTCTGGGCTGATGGAAGTCCCTGGTGACAGTGCTCTGCCCCTCGTGGCACAGGGCGGGCACCTTTCTCATGGGCAGTTTTATGTCCTGCTTTTTGGAAGGAGGGAGGAGGTCCGAGTACCTTTTCTGTATCCGCTGTTTCTCAAGTGTCTTCGGGACAAAGGCATTAATATGCCAAAGTGGCATCATTTGGGATAGCATGTTCTGATCTCTTTACAAAGTCTTTCTGGAAAAGGGTCATCGAAATGGGATATTTAGTGGGATCCTCAGCTAAAATGATGGCTACCCAGGGCCCAGTTGGCTGAGAGTCCTGAGACCCACCCTTACCCCCAATCAAATCACGGCTGGTGTGTGGTGGTGGTTGCTTTGGGGCATTCTTTATTCAAAGAGGCAGCAATGGAATGGGGATCACTCAGAACGTCACTGTGCACAGGACTCACCCTGGGGGCTTGTGGAGACCCGGTTCCGGTTCAGAGCATCTGGGGCCGCCTGAGATCTCTAACAAGCTCCCAGGTGCTGCTGCCGCTACTGCTGCTGCTGGTTGAGGTACTGCACTTGGCACAGGAAGGAGCGAGAAAGGGGTGATGGGCCCGAGACCGGGTCCTGTGAGGACCCACTGGAGGACCGTCGGATGTGACCTCAGTGGAGACAGAGGAAACCTGGGGCGTCACGGTACTTTTTTCTCATCTTTGGGAGAGGTGTGTCCTTGGTCAGTATCCCTGCAGAGGGTGGTTTGGAAACGCGGGTAGGAGTAAGATTCTGATCAACACAGGCGTGGATCTCCTAAGTTGAGAATAAGCGGGATGGACTGCTGCCCAGAGCTGTGGACTCTTCCATTCCGAGATTCCCATCGGAGGGGAACCGTAGTCTGGTGGGAGGATGTTCTTGACAAGTTTCCTCTGTGGGTGGCGAATCTGATGGTGCCAGAAGTCCCAGCTGTTTGTGCAGGAAGAATTATCCCAGGAGGATGTCATTCCTTTGGTTTCAAGGAATAGGATGGGAACCGTTCTAACCGTCCTGAAGCCAAGAATGGGAGGTTCTTCCCTGTTGAAGAAACAAACAAACAAAAAAACCACAACTCGGTTCAGTGTTGTAATTAAGCCGCTTCTGTAGGTGAATTCGTAGGTGCCTGAAATCCCAGGGATAACAATGAAGAGTGTTATGTAAGTCCTGACAGTAAGTGCCGGAGACAGAAGAATTAGCAACACTCAGCGTCTGGGGCCGAGATCTGGATGGGACCAACAACCCCTCAAGCCTTTACCACCCACTCGGTCGGTCGGTGGTGCTATGGGGCTGATCCTAGAGCTCCAGAGAAAAGCCGAACGGTGACGAGACAAGAAGCAGCATAACGTAGTATAGAGAGGCCATGACATTGATGTAAATAACAGATCTGGTATTTGAAAAATGGATCCATCAGCATCTGGACATTTAACATCATAACTTTTGAAAATAAAAGACTGAGTTTCCACCATGTTTAAAGGGCCACGACCTCCCCGGACCCTGGTTTTGGAATTGGGTTTCTGGGAGGAAGGGAATTTTGTTATTTCATATAGGAATGCATTTTTATTTTGGTCTAGTAAGTCAGCCAAATGCTTTTAATGCTGATCATTTGTTTGGAAATATTTGCAAATATTGTGAGGGACATATTTTTTTTCAACAATCGCCCAGCAAATGTGATTAATATAGATGATCCATCTGGAAACTTCAGGCAGTACATGATTTTTTGGCCCTTCCCTTCCACACTAGATTTTCTCATTTAAATTATCCTAATAATTATCTCCCTCATCTGCTTTCGGGCTATGTCTGCCTTGACATAGCCCGAAATGCAGTCCCAGGCAGAGTCGCATTTTCGTTGTACATCCCTGACTTCCCATTTGGTTGGGTTAATTACGGAGATGTTGATCAGCCTGGCCCGTGGTGGCTCAGACCTGGTAATGAAGACAGATTCCGCCTACGGAGTTGTGAGCTCACCAGCAGGAGCCAGAGCAGGTTCAGAGAACTCATTCTGGTGTGGGGAGAATGGGGAGAGGCTGCTCCGCCCCACCCTGCATTTTGGAGTGAGGGGGGCAGGAAGAACCAGAGTGCTCCCCAGTGTCCTCCTGTCGCCCTCCCCCAGCACGAGTGTGAACTTCGGGAACCTGTGCCCGGCTCCATCAGACACGTGAAGACGCGTGCCTGCAGACAAGCGGGTCAGTTGCGCTATAGCTCTGGTGGCCCCAGTGAGCCTCTGCCTCGAGTGATAACACTGGGCTTATCTCAGTGTGTTTGCCACTATGCTGCCATTAACTGTCCCCACTGGCTGGCACATTCTGCTTCTGTGATGAGCTGCAGTCAGGGAGCCATTGGGGAGGAGGAGGGAGCCTTGACAGCAGAGGATGGACCTCATAAGGGGGCTTCGGTTCGAAGGAGGAGGCCTGAAAGGGGAGCAGGGAGATATCGCTGCCAGCTTCCTGTGCCGCTCATTTTGCCTGAAGTCAGTCCTGCCCTTCCCAGATGAACTGGTTGGTGGCTAGAATAATATGACGTCCTTCACAAACACTTGTATTGTGCTGCTTAGGTGCTGGACATTGTTGATTACACCTGACAAATTGCCACGCATTTAATCCTCATCGCAGTCCCAAGGACACTGCATTTCCCCAATGTTCTATATTTGCATGGCCAGCTCACGTCCGCATTTTACAGACGAGGACCTGGAGGCACATAGTGCGCAAGTTCCTGGACCAGTTACCAAGTATGTGGCGGGGCTGGAGCCTGGGCCCCGACAGCTGGGGGTCAGAATCTGCGCTTGTAACTGGCACACGGCACTGAATATTTCAGCAAAGAGGTCTTTCCTTTGCAGGAGGTGAGGAGGCCCATCCAGACGCCTCCAAGAGAACCTGAGGCAGGTGGACCTGAGGCTCACCTGCATGAGCAGGAGGTGGAGCCAGTGAATTTTACCATGATGTTACAAAAAAGGCTTTTGCGACAAATTCCTTAGGCTGTGCAGGGTCCTGAAAGGGCACCAAGGGGGATTTTACTTGCTGTAAGGCTAAGTTTGCCCCTGCATGGTTTCTTTATTTCTTTTTTACGTGACTTATATCTTTAGCTTCATTATTTTTTGCATGGTGATCTAAATAATTGCTAAGCTCACCTCTTGAGATTCATTTCTTTTAGGTTAAGACCCAGCTTCTCCTAACAACTATGTAGTGCACTGATACTTTGAGGGCGAAGAAGGACAGGGCAGATGAACTTGGCAGTGGGAGTGGGTTTACCAGGGGTCAGAGGGCAGCCACCTGGACTTGTGGGAAGGGATGAGACCGGTCAGGTGGGACGTGTTTCAGTGGGAACACGGGAGAGCAGGAGCGCTCTGCACTCATTTCAGAGTGGGGGGAGCTGTCTTTTCTGTTTGAAAAAGTGACCAACTCTACCCTTTCTAAAAGCTGGTGGAAGCAGGATCTAAAGGAAGACTCGAACATCATTTCTTTCACCTTCAGGTGAAAATATGGACAATTAGAACCAGTTTGTCTGTTCTAATACGTAGGAATAAATCTCAGCTCAATAGCATTCATTTTTAAAGATTTACTCTGTGCAAGCGGCCATGACCGCCTCGTCCTGGTTGCTCACGACTGTTTTACAAATGAAAGTTGCAAAAACGGAAGTTTTCAGGATGGAATCTACCCCCCACCCTCCGCCCTGTCCTGGGAACGCCCTGAGTCCCAGGCAGTCTGGGACTGGTGGTCACTCTAGGGCCCACATGTTGCCCCATCAATTATGGACATAGAACAGAGCTCCTATTTGCTGGACATTGTCACCTCCTATTAAAAAAACGAGGAAGTGGAGACTCAGATCAGTAATGAAATTGTCCCGGACCATCCAGCTCCAGGTCTTGGAACTGGAATTAAAGACTCCTGGTCTGTTTGATTCTTAACCGCCCCTTTCCCCTTAATCCTCCTCCCCCCAAGTTAGGGCCTGTATTTGATGTCCCTCTGCTGCTTATTTGTCTACTGCTTCATTCTAATTCCTAGTTCCCCCGCCCCCCTTTCCCTAGACTTGGTGTTGCCCACAAGCATTTTCTAGTCCTCACGAAAACTAGTCTGTATTCTAAATACAAATGATCCTTGTTCAAGGTCAGTGCTGCCCAGTAGGACTTTCTGTGATGGGGGAAATGTTCTGTATTTGCATTGCCCAGTGTCATAGCCATGGTCGCTGGTAGCCACGGCACACCTGAGATGTGGTCAGGGTGTCTGAGAAACTCCACGTTTAATTTAGTCTAAACTTAAATAGCCATCTATGGCGACACAGGGGTCATTCGAACTCATTCGTTCTTTACTTGAAAACGTGAGCACCTGTCGCTGAGATCAGACTGGGTTTATCAGTGTTGGGCTAAACTGTACGGGCATTTGTAGGTTTATTGTTTGTTGCCCGAGCCTCTTATGCTGTTGTCTCAGCGGTTTTCCTTCTTCGTTCTCACCACAGTTCTGGTGGTTTGGGAATCTGGGTTTCTTTCAGGTTCAGCGGAATGAGGACAAATCTACCACCTTGAAACTGGCTGATTTTGGCCTTGCCAAGCACGTGGTGAGACCACTGTTTACCGTGTGTGGGACACCGACGTACGTAGCCCCTGAAATTCTCTCTGAGAAAGGTGAGTGTGAAGCATCACTCTACGGGGACCCTGTTCACTTGCTAATTAAAGTTCGATTCTGTAAATATTTAGTATTTATGTTTTTCAATATGGAGCAGTCAGAGACCTCAGAGCTGGTGCTAAGGTGGCCCTTTGGTTTTAATGGAAATATTTGAAGCAGTTCTCCTTGACCAAAGCATGAGAACGTTTTTTCCACACCAGGGCTGCCCTTATTGCAGGGGTGGGGTTGGAGTGTATGTGTGTGTGGGGGGGTGTTGGCAGGACAGTGAGATGGGACATGGGGGAGCCCTGGGTGGGGACTCACACAAACAAGGCCCTTGGTGTCACCCACCCAAGGCTACCTCTAATGGTAGGTTAACAATTCCTGCACCAACCTCGCATCTGGGGACAAAGGGAATCCCCCTTCAGACTCCACGAATACTACGTATTACCTCTTTCTATATTGTATGAGGGTCCAATGACCTGCGTTAGTGACACACCGTAAAATATATAAAAGGGTGTTAATATTATTATCATTATATGGCTCCAAATACGTGAATGACTGTTAAACTACTGAGCACTCCAGGAGAAATCAGGTGAAGCACCCTCTGCACAAAGGGAAAGTTCTGGAAGGGGCAGAGGGGGGTGGGGAGAAGAGAGAGCTCGTCTCCCATCAGCAGAGGCATCGGAGAACCTAAGGTGAGGAGACCGCGATGCACGTGGAGGTTGGGTGGTAGAGATGTTGGGGGGAAGACTGGCCCCTAGTTCTGCAGAGGGAAGTTGGGTTGGTTGGGCAGGTTGCGCCTGGTCTTGCCGTGGCCGGGCAGCCCAGGCAGAGGCACCGGGGCCCAGTGTGGCCATGCAGCAGCCGGGGGAACACGGTTACGGTGGGACAGGAGAACACTCGCAACTACAGGCATTTCCACAGAGGCATCGATGACCCTGGTGGGAGGAAGGGGAGCCGACAGTCTGCGTGGATCTTCGGAAGACCACCGTGTGGGCGGTGGCACCAGCTTAAACAGGGTGTTGGAGGGGAAGCTCTTTTGGGAGGTAGGGATGGGGTGAGTTACAATGTGAACACACTGACTGGAGATTTCCGGACGGACGCACGGAGTTGCCCGCTTGGCAGGGAGGTGAAACTCTGGGCTGAGTGTGTGGTTTTGAGACCCCTGCAGCTCCGAGATGGCGGCAGGAGCAGGAGACATAATGGCTCCCAGTGGTGTCAGCAAGGACATTTCTCTCGGGGAGAGGAAAGGAGGAGGGGCCCGCAGAGGACAGGGCCGTGGAGGAGGCAGGGGGAGGGGCAGGACAGTGCAGTGTCACAGCCGCTGGGGGGCGCAGTTCACCAAGGCGGGAGGCCGGGCAGGACTGGCCCCTCCTGAGGGGGAAAGTGGCTGAGAACTGAGGACAGGACATTCAAGCCGGCTGGAAAGAGGTCCTTGGTGACTCATTCCCTTAGTATTTCGCTGGGATTTGGGTCTTGACAACAGTTCTTTGGGGCTTAATAATGAACATTTAACTCCCCAGTTAAAGCTGCCAAGTGCTTTACTTTTCCAAAGAGAGAAAGTGTTTGAAAGTGTACATGCTGCTGTTATAAACTATGGGTGGATGATATATTACTGTATATTACTTTGTGCATTTAATTTATAGAAAGCTATTTTAAGAACATAATCAGAGATGTGCACAAATATTTAATATGTAAGGATGTTCACCACAGAATTGCTTACAGTTGTAAACAAAATTAGAAAAAAGTTAAATTGTAACATGGAGGATTCATTATATACAGAGAATACTAACAGCTATTAGAGATGATATTTTTGAAGAGTGCTTTTTATGTTTTTCATAGGAACTTCCTATATAGGAAATGCCATGTAATATTAAGTGAGTGAAGTTGGGTATAACACATGTACAATGTGAGCCTGATTTCGTTAAAGAAAGTAGATGTGTGTGTGTTCCTGTGCTCATGGTGAATAGAGCTAGTAATATCCATCTTTTTATATTTCTAAAAGAGTCATAAATAATATTTTTGAAATGAGAGAAGGCAATGACCAGATAGGAAGCAGAGGCAGCTGCTGGTGCAGGCCAGGCTTTCTCCAAGTGTCTCTGGTGAAGGGCTTTACAATTTCCCGCATGTGTGGGCCCATGTGGAGTCCTGCTGCATGTGACAGGTGACAGGTCCTGCCACACATGACTTACCATGTGTGCTGCACAACCCTGGGCTGATCTGTACCCTGTGCCATGAGCTGCATCCATGGACCGTGCAATTGAATGTCACAGTCATGCCAGATCAGAGTTTCCAAATGTGTACATTGAATTTCTGTGCTTATTTTATCACTGACCAGTCATAAAGGATCGCAAAGCAGTGGCAGTGGCCGGAGGACAGAACTGGCTGTAACCCTGGCAGGGATCTCATGTCTGTAGGGGGTAGCAGTCACGGGTCTGGAAGCGGCTCTGGCTCATGGAGAGCTGAGGTCCTCTGGCCCAGAGCAGTGATTCTGCCCTGTGCGCCTCATCGCGCCCGACCAGCCTGGGCTCAGATATGCTTGTGTCTCTGCCTCCATTGCACAGGTTATGGGCTGGAGGTGGACATGTGGGCTGCCGGCGTGATCCTCTACATCCTGCTGTGTGGCTTCCCCCCCTTCCGCAGCCTGGACAGAGACCAGGACGAGCTCTTCAACATCATCCAGCTGGGCCACTTCGAGTTCCTGGCTCCTTACTGGGACAACATCTCCGATGGTGAGACTTGGGGCTTCCCAGTGAGGGGAGAAGGGGTGTAGAGCTGGAGGTGCCCCCGCCCCCCCCGCCACCCCGGGTTCTGACTGCAGAGCAGGTTCTAGGTCAGGTGCATGATAAGGATGCAGAAGACCCTCTAAGCACCTGGCACAGAGGTGGGCTGTCCACAGGTTTTGCTTCATCCTTTATGTCCAGTGACACAAATCTACACCCCAAACAGTACTCACTATGAGACTTAATGGAAAAGCTGAATTGCCAGTTGCAGCTGCCAGATACTTTCCCTTAAGGTGAGTGAAGAACATCAGGAGTGAAAAAGAGTGTCAGAAACATGTCACCCTCACCTGTGAAGATACAAACCACCTCACGAGTAGACGTGCTTGTGAGTCGGACGGACTGAAAATGCTTGTTTTACTTGTGCACCCGCAGGGGTCCTGTGGGGCAGCCTGGGAGAGAAGGGGTGACGGTCTGCTCTTCGGCTCTTTCACAGGGACTCTCTCCCGTGTTTCTACTGATTTCTCTGCCCTACCCGCTGCCCTTGTGAATTCGAGAACTAGATCATTGGAGGTTTTGAGTCTTTAGCTTAAAATTGTAGACCAGGAGTGACAACTCCTACCCTCAACTTTCCCTAAATGTGTCACTTAAGATCAGTTCCGTATTTATCAATGTAGGGAGGAAGAAGGTACATATGTTATTTAACAACCTGATAGTTTGGTTTACAAGCTGACTGCATGTGGACCTACGGTTTTGGCCTGGGTTTGTTCTCTTGGGCTGGGCACCACGGCTGTCAGTGGTGGGCTGGCCCCGTGACTCCAGAGAGATGAACAAACATCCCCAAGAGCTCTTCATCCAACAGACTGACCCAAGCTGCACATGGCTACTTAAATTTACATGGACACTAATGAAAAGTAAATACAATAAAAGTTCAGTTGTTTTGTCATGCCAGACGTATTTCAAATGCTTATTCACCCCAAGAGTGTGGCTCTGGTATGAAAGGTTCCCATCACCGCAGAGAGTTCTGTGGGACGGCGCTGCTCTCGTGTGGCACGAGGCGCTAACATGGATGTTTGTGTTCTTAGCTCACGTTGCGGGGGGGGAGAACCATTCAGAACCACCTGCATTCATCTCATTTCCCCCCCTTCTCTTCCTCCAACAGCTGCCAAAGATCTGGTGAGCCGGTTGCTAGTGGTAGACCCCAAAAAGCGCTACACAGCCCATCAAGTTCTTAAGCACCCCTGGATTGAAACTGCTGGGGAGGCCGACACAGCAAACCGACAGGAGGAGGTGTCCCCTGGCAGCGAGGGCCACCTCCAGAGCCAGCACAAGCGATCTGCAGAGTCAGCGTCGTAGTCACCATCTCGAGTCCCTGCGTTCAGCTCCCCCCGTTCTGCTCCAGCACAAAGGGTAGAAGTTTTGGAGAAAGAGGACAAAAGGGCTTCTTTGCGTAATTGGAGAGTCAGGGGAAGGAGAGATGCTCAGTATATTTTTAAACATAAACTGGAGTCTTAATGTGAAATGTAACCTATTTTTAGATTTGTACATTTGAAGCCTTTCATACATTTGGGGGGTGTGTGGGGAGGGACAGACTTGTTATTGGTGAGGTATTTTGGTAATAGCGATGTGCTTTGCCCCCTCCCTGTAATCAAGTTCACGGTGTACTACACGCGTGGTGCTTACCAGGGTCTCCGTTCACCTTGTGAGGTTAATAAGGTAAATCGTAGTCTCTGTGTTAATAAAACGTGCTCGGAATGACTGAAGTGGGCCGTGTTCTGATTCCGTCTCAGTGCTGATGGTGAGAGTCAGGGAATCATAGTTCAGACCCACCTCCTGAAAATGATGTGACCACATACACCTGCTGTGATGGACACCTGGTGGACCAGCAAGATCTGTTTGTATCGCACGTGCTGGCCATGGTCACGTGCATTTTCATCTTAGCTGAGAGTCAGCTCTGGTGCAGTCTGAAGAATGGTACCATGAAACCGTTGATTTACTCTCGCTCCCCGATACCTATTTATACTGCTTTATGGCCAGTTAGGCCCGAGCCGGAGTCGCTTCCACATGAAGTCTGGTGCTCAGGCTGCGCCCGTGTGCACATTTGTGGATCATGGGGGAGCCGTTTAGTGCATTGACATGTCAGACGTGCAGTGAGTGGATTACATGCACGTGTGACTGCTCAGGCCTGTTCCTGCCCGCAGGGCAGACCCCGGAGGGCACGGAGGGCCTGTTCCCTGAGGATTCCAGTGCAGACCTCTGTGCTGAGATGTTGGTCTGTTCAGATGATGCGGGAGTGTGCAGGAGCCGAGGGCAAAGTACAGTGCTGTTATTTGTGAATTGGCCTTTCCGGGTTACATGTAATTGGGTCAGTAAGGCACAGAGCCAGTCTCAGAGTGTGGGTTTCTCAGCCATCCCCTCCCTTCTCTCCCAGTGTTGGGGTCCCCTGGGTGGGGGAGTGTGTCAGTGAGGGGCGCAGGTGCAGCACGAGAGCCTGGTAGAAGGAATGTTACAGCTGCCAAGGAATGGCAGCTTAGACGGATGTTGGAGAAAGCAAAGCACAAAGGGGGCGCTGAAGTAATTTAGACACACTAACTGCAAGAAATGGCTTCCACTCCTAGGTGGGGAACCAAGGGAGGAGGTTGGGGTGATTAGAACCTAGAAGCTTGGAGGAGGAACCCCTTGTCAGGGACACTCAGTGTGCCGCCCACATCCTGCTTCAGGACCGAAGGGAATACACTGCCCAAGGTGCCGGCTGACAGCCTGCAGCGGTCACCGTCCACAGGGCATCCTTAGCTGGGAAGAATTGGCTCCCCCAGGGTCATGACCCTCCTCCTGGGGCAGCTTGCATCCAAAGGCTGGTCCATGTAGGGAGTGGCCAGTGGGGAAAATGATGGATGGACCATTCTCTTCATGGGGATTGGCTGAGCCCTGGGCTAAGACAGCATCACAGCTCTGCTTCTTCCTTGCCCAATCCTGCTTCTTTCCCTTCTCTGCCAGAGGTGATAACCCCGGGGCCATTCTCTGATGTACCTTCCACATGCTAATCCTCACCTTGGAGTTGGCTTTCCAGGGAACAGATCCTGTGACCACTCCCGCACCCCACCCCACCCTGAAACTTGGAACTGCTGGAAGAGGTACCAGCTGGTCCTTTAACCTCAGGGGCTGAAAAAAGAGGGGCCCTGGGGAGCTGGGACCCAGCAGGCAGTGCAATGGTGCTCATTCTGAACATGCAGAAAGAGGCCGAAAGCTGGAATTGGCACTGGGACACCTTTTGATAAAGTCACCAAAGGCCAAAATCCAAAAAAGAATCTTCAGCCTTCACATTAGCATTGTATGCTTCTGTTGACCACTGCCTTTTCAAAGCGTTTCTCCTGTTGACTTCTGGGATGCCACGTTTTTTATTTTTCTCTGTTTTTCTTCCCCCATCCCCGTGCACCCCTTTGGGTCTCCTGTACAGGTTTCATCTTCTTCCACTGGCTGAAGGTTGCAGTTCCATCATTAGTCACTAGGGAAAAGCAAATCAAAACCACAATGAAACAGCACCATGCACTTATCAGAATGGCTAAAATGGCTGTGATGAAAACTATGACCGTACCAGGTACTGGAGAGAATTAGGAGCAACTGGAACTCTTGCCCCTCACTGCTGGGGATGTAAAATGGCCTTCCCCCTTCGAAGAACAATTGGGCAGTTCCAGTAAAAGTAAAACACCTACCTACCCCACAATCTGGCCATTCTACCAGACAGTTCCAAGAGAAATTAGAGCAGGTGGCCTCAGAAATACTTGGACACAAGTATTCACAACCTGAATGTCCATAAATTGGTGAGTTGTTGGGAACCGCCCTGCCTGGTTTTGTTGCAGGAAAATGAAGCAACCAGACACCGAGGGTTTCTGAAGTACGAGGTTTTATTAACGTGCACAAACCCAGAGGAATCAGTCTCCAAATTCTGAGCTCCGAACAAAGGATTCTTGGAGTTTATATGGCCTTCGGAGTAGTAAAGCAAGATACAGAAGCAGGAATGTGGAAGTCAGTCCTGGCTACGAGGCGAAAGTAAAGTACATAGGCTAAATTTGAAGGTCAGTTTTTAACAGCAGGGGTGTTAATCTCAGTCCTAGCTAATGCACCGTTGTTTACTTATCCCAGACAGCCCCATCATTCTCCCCAGGGTGCCTGGGTCCCGGGCAAATAAAGGTTAAACAAAGGTTCTTCAAAACTTCCCATATCAGTTTCAGGAGCTGTAAACCCCCCATGGCTAAGGCTGAGTGGGCAACCTTTGGGCCATAAGCCACTAAGGAGACAAAGCTTATCTCCCTGGCAGGAGCACTGCTTCTGCTCCTTTTTTCGTAACTGGCCCCCAATGCTTGATCAGTTAGCCAATGACAGGTAAGATTCCCCAAGGGGGGAATCACCTAAGACAGGCATGATCATGTGGAGGCTCCAGGGAAGGACTTGGGGGGCTATGGAGAAAGGGGGTGATAGACCCTCATCTCTCAGCTTTGACGAAGCCTGAGTCCTCAGTCTGTCTGCAAGAAATCTCCTAAATTCCTTGGCTATCTTGCCTCCTCTGCCTGACTTAAGCCTGAAACAATGACAGAGGGCTGTGTAGCCCTGTGCTGGAAAGGGCAGGTGCCCCGGGTGATCAGGCCTGAGAAAGGATGTGTAAAATCCTGTGGAGCCTGCTTTGCTAAGAATGCTCTTAGTTAAATGATAAAGGCCCGAGCAGGAAAAGAGTTTATTTCCCAAAGTTTCGTAGCCTTTGAGCTGATAGACCCTGACTCAGAAGAACCTCTATAGTTCTTTGTATGCTATCTACTGTTTGATCCTTACTGCCTGACAATGATTAATGAGCTGTACCTGTATTCCTGCGAAAATTAAACCCAATAAAAGCCTGTCTGAGCAAGGGTCAGCGCACACTCCCCTTGAGAGGGTGGCCAGGCCGCTCTGAGGCGCTCCCCCCTTGAGGGAGTAGCTGCGTTGGCCCTTTTCCTCCACAGGACTCGGTAGTCCATGTGAATTTGTCTCATGTCTCATCCATGACGCCGCAGGCACTGCAGGCCGGTGCATGCGTCAGTGAGTGTGTAAGCCATGAATACAACTTGGAATAAAAACGAGTGAACTCTTGATACAGGCAACAGCATGGATAAAACTCAAAATAATTAGGCTGAATATAAGGTGCCAGACCAAGAGGTCTCTGTTCTGTATGATTCTATTCATATACAATCCTAGAGAGTGCACGCCAATGTACGATGACAGAAAGCAGGTTGGGGTTTGCCTGGAGTGGGGAAGGGGAAGCGTTACACAAAAATGCCAGGTGACTCGGGAGGTGACAGATGTGTTCATTGCCTTGAATGTAACAATGGATCCATGGGTGTATCCATGTCAACCCATCATGGTGGCCCTTTCAATATGTGCGGTCTATTGTGTGTCGACTACACCTCAACAAAGCTGTTAAAAACACTATGCCTGTAGCAGCTTCAGTCGACAGGTCCTCTGTCAACAGTGACAGGGAGCTTCACTCCCTCTTGGCAGCTACCCTGCACGCACGGTCTATTGGCAGATGATTCTCTTCCTCCCTCCTCTCCCCTCCACCATTTATGTCTCAGTCCAGCCTTGTCCTCTAAGCTCAGACCATCTGTCAGACTGGCCAGGTGACTCATCCACGTGACACACCCCCGTGTATGCATCGGAAGTGCCTCCAGGGCAGACCTTGTGATCATCACCCAGACCCAGTCCTCTGCCCGGCTCTGGCTCAGGGGATGGCTCTCTGAGCAAACCTAACATGTGGGCATCATCCTTGACATCTCCGTGCCCCACCTCGAATCCAGCCCACCTGCATTGCCTCAGTCTGTGCACTTAGCGTCCTAGTTTTCCACCTGACGCACATTTAGGCTGTTTCTCACTAACTCCCTATTGTTACAAGCACACTGCCCTGGCCATCTGATGCCCTCCTCTTTGTGACTCGTGGGCGACTTTTCTCTTCCTAGACCGAGAAAAGCCTGGGTTTGACCAGATGCACCAACTTGATTTTCCATTAATTTCCCTTCTCTCGCACACAAAAAAACTATGAAAATTTCCTCTTTTTTCCTCCCGGTTTCCCATGTATTCTTTCTTCCCCCCTGAAATTCCTAAAATGTTAGTATATATGGCTATAATTGAGAAGTAGTAACACGGAAGCTGCTTCCTAAACTTTGATGCTTTTGTGCACTTTAAAGGTCTTGGAGTGAATTCCTGTGTCTCACTTCTACCTCAAAACCATGCGATCCGGAGGTAGGATTCACAGCCTCACTTAACGGTTGGAGAGATTGAGCTCAGGGAAGTGACCTGACTCAGAAAAGTGGCCTGACTTGCCCACCGACACGTGGATTATCAAAGACACCAGCTGCCAGGTGTGGGCTGTGGCTGTCAGGAAGTGCCCAGGCAGGGAAACAGCTGTGCAGCTGATTAGTGAATGGACCTTAGTCTCTGGACTGAATGAAGGCGCTGGGCAGAGAGGCCCCTACGTGTTACAATGAATAGTGGCCATTTCGGAGCACAGGTGAGGGCCGGGCACTGTGCTAGCTCCTCGAGATTTTTCTCAGTGAAACCCCAGGCATGCTCAGGGTGTCGGCATTAGTATCTCACCCCAGCATCTCTCCTGTGAAAGACCATAGCCAGGGTGAATTATTAAAACAAAAATGTCATCATGTGCCCTCAGTTTAAAACGACTTCCCATGACATTAGAACACCAGCAAAGGCCTCAAGGT